CCTTCGATATTTATGTCACCCTCAACCTTTCCTTTAGGAAGTGAAACATCAACAGATGGAATTTTGATCTTCCCTCCCTTGACATCAGGACCCTCGAGCGCGACATCTACATCCTGAGATTTTATATTAGGTGCAGAAAGATCTATGGATGGCATGTTTGGTTTTCCACCTTTGCCTTGAGGACCTTCAGTATCTATATGTGGTCTTTTAGATTTTATTTTAGGGAGAGAGATGTTAATAGAGGGCATGTTGAACTTGTTGCTTTTGCCAGTGTGCCCTTCTATTTCCCCCCCTACTTTTCCTTTGGGGAGTGATATGTCAATATCTGGCATTTCAATCTTTCTTCCCTTTGTTTCAGGTCCTTTTAATTTGACATCACCCTCAGGAAAATTTACCTTTGGTAAAGAAATGTCAAATTTTGGCAGTGTTATCTTTCCTCCTCTACATTCAGGCCCTTCAGTGTTTATGTCAATGCCAGTGTCAACTTCTCCCTCTTCTTTACCTTTTGGAAGTGAAATATCAACAGTCGGCATTTTTACAACAGGAAGATCAATGTCAACAGATGGCAAATTGAATTTGCCTCCTTTCCCATTACCTTCAAAGGTAATTTCTGGTCCTTCAACATTTGTATCACCTTGCTTTGATTTAATTTGAGGTAGAGAAACATCAACTGAAGGGATTTGAAAAGGTTCTCCTTTACTTTTTACTTGTATGTCACCCTCTGCTTTTCCTTTTGCTTTTCCCTTTGGAGGAGAGATGTCAAGAGAAGGTCCTTCTAGGACAAGATTTCCCTCAGGCATCTTCATCTTTGGTAGTGAGACATCCAAAGAAGGCATCTGGAATTTTCTTCCTTTGACTTCAGGGCTCTCAATCTTTACCTCTCCCTCTGGTGATTTCATTACAGGAAGAGAGAAGTCAAGGACGTTGAACTTTGCTCCTCCTTTTGCTTTAGATTCAATATCAAATTCTCCTTCTTTGGTGGGCACCTTTGGAAGTGAGATATCAAAAGTTGGGAGCTGGAACTTGCCACCCCCACTGCCACTGAGCTCCACATTGGCCTCAATGTTTGGCTTGGATAGTGAAAAGTCAACACCTGGAAGTTCTGGTCTTTCAAGTTTGATATCAGGGTCAGGTAGCTTTATTTTTGGAGGAGAAATGTCTACAGTGGGCATGCTGAGTTTGCCTCCTTTTACTTCACTTCCTTCTAAAACAACCTCTTTTTCAGATGGCTTCAGTTTTGGTAGGGATATATTACATGAAGGCATTTTAAAATTGCTTCCTTTTCCATCAGTTTCAGCCCCTCCCTTGTCTTTTGACAGAGAAACATCTATTGATGGCAGTTCAATTTTCCCTCCTTTGATATCAGAACCATGTAAATTAGCCTCAGTTTCAGATGTTCCCATCTTAGGGAGTCTGACATCAAGTGAAGGCATTTTGAATCGTCCTTTAGCAGAGGGAGCCTCCATTTCAATTTTGCCCTTTGCCCTTCCCTTTTCAAGAGAAATATCAACAGAGGGTATCTGCATTTCACTTGGTGGTAAATGAAAATTTCCTTCCCCTTCAACATCAGTCACTCCTGCTTTGCCTTTGGGAAGGATCAGGTCCACTTTGGGTAACTTGAATTCCCCTTCCACACCTTGTCCCCTTATGTTTACTTCTCCTGGTTGAGAAATGTCAAAATCAGGCATTTTGAATTTTCCATCACCACCAACATAGTAGTCCATATGGACATCTCCACTGTCTGATTGGACCTTTGGGAGTGAGAGCTCAACAGAAGGTAGAGAGAATTTTCCTTCCACTTCTGGGCACTCAGTGTCCACCGATGATCCCATCTTAGGTAGTGAGATATCAACCTTTGGCATAGAGATCTTGGGCCCTTTAAAAGTGCCCTCGACCTCATCAGGAATTCTCCGTCCGCTGTCTAATTCCAAATCAATATCAGCTACAGAGATGTCACTGGCAGGCATGTTGATTGCAGTCTTCCTAATTCCTTCGTGATCTTTGATCAATATGTCAGTCTTTCCCTTCACTTTAGGCAAAGAAATATCAACAGAGGGAAGACCGATCTGCCCATCTCCTTTGATTTCTACCTCTGGAGGTTTTATGTCAGTATGAGGCATTTTGATGCCTCCAGCTTTTACCTTGATGTCACCATCAATTTCATCTGAATGGTGTGAGAGTCTAACTTTGGGTAGTTTCAACTTTGGCATTCTGACCTTTGCATCTCCTTTGTCTGCATCTACATGAACTTTTCCTTCAGCTGTTTCAGCTCTTCCTTTGATGTCCATTTCAGGAGCTTTGATTTTGGCCGTTCCCTTCACACTGGGCAAAGATGTCTCAGCTTTTCCTGAAGGGAGAGCAAACTCCACATCAGGTAGGCTAACTTTAGATGCTCCCTTCTCCACATCTTTATTAGCAGACAAACTGAACTCCACAGATGGCGGCTGGATGTTTACCCCCGGAGGCTTCAGCTCCACAGATCCAGTTTCCAAAGTAGAGCCTGACTTTGTGTGTTTGCTTGTAGGAAAGGTGATGCCAAACTTGTGTCCTTTTCCTTTGCTTTTCACTTTAGCTCCAGGCATTTCAGATGGGGAAATATTCACTTGTCCTTCAAACCGTCCTGTCTCCACTTTTGCTCCCTTTTGCGGGAACCTTGGAAAACAGTGTTTTAGAGAGGAAAAAAAGAAATAGGAAAGAACATTGTAATATTTCCCCAAAAGATTATATCTAATTTAAAGCACAACATTAAAATAGATATAATTTAATGTTGTGCAATTTAATGTACAACAAGCATTGCATTGTAGTATTATTTGGAACTACCTAAGAGAAAGAAACAAACAAAAAAGGCCAACCTCATCCTCTTCTTTGCCTTCCTCTCAACTGCTGCTCCTCTGGCTTCCTCTACTTCAACTTTTGGACTTTTCCTTTGTTTGAATTTGGGAAGAGAAAACTCTACATCACTCATCTCCAGCCTGGGAGGTGTTCCCTCTACCACCAGCTCCTCTCTTCGCTTCTCTTTTAGCCTTTTCAGACCAAAACGTCCACCTCGTTTCTTCTGAGTCTTGAATGGTTTGGTCCCCTTCACACTCTGAAAGAAACACGTGTGACAAGAGCATCAGTCAACAACATTTAAAGACCTGCATCTATCTGTTGTAACTGATCACTCACAATATATTTTTTCAGCACAATGGCTTTCAGGATTAAAAGTGATTACAATAAATTGATAAAGCCACTTTACCATTTTGCCCATCTTGACTTTGGGACCTTTGACCTCCACACTGGGAACCTTTGGGCGCACGCTGCCATCCGCTCCAGGGATGGTTCGCTTAAGCTGGAAGCTGACCCTATATGGCTCTGCGCACTGAAGGATTTTTAAAGCGTCTTCATACCTCACATTGTCAAAGTAGACTTTGGCACTTAGCAGCTGGTCACCTTCATACAGAAAAACAGTATGAACAATATATTCATGTACATCAGTTTGTGATGTATATTTAGTATAGGATGCATTTAGTGGAAAAAGTAGAAAAAGTAAAAGTGATTTATTAAATAAAGTTTGATTAGAGACACAGTTAAGCATTTTGCAATTTTGCACAATTTTAAAAAGTTTAAATTTGTTCAGAATTGAACAGGAGAAATGAGGCTTTCTTGTCGGAAGTAAGCAAAAAACCCAAAACAAACCAAAACGAAAAAAAAAACAAGCAAACAGCGGCCGACACCTAAGACTGGTGGGTAAGTAAGCGACTAATGCAGAAAACAGAGATTTTTAAATGGGAAACTGTTCTTGAAGTGGTGGAAGCAAAACAGCAAAAGTAAGAGGAAATTCGTGACGATGTTTATGTGAAGCGAAATGTGAAGCGTAGTTTGGATCTTCTTTTGCTGCTGGTTCAGTCAGTATTGTTTGGAGAGAGATAAAAGCTGCAGCTTCAGAATCTAGCACAAAAAGCACAGAAACACAAAGCGCCCGCCGACGCTTCAAAATCAGTGAGCAGTCGGCTTTCAGCCCCGACGGCGTGTCCGTGTCCGTGTCCGTGTCTGCGTACGTGCCGTCGGGTGAAAAGGCGACATCTCACTGATTCAGATCCGTTGGGTTGTGTTTGTGTTTACGTCTTCGTGCAGAATCCGTGTACCTGCTCTCATGTACTGTTT